AATGTGAATAAATCCCACGGATAAATTGAGAAAAAAATCTCTAACACGTGGTTTAGCCGGAATCCACGTTTTATAGGTCTTTGATACCGACAAATTGAATGACAGCAAATCGTCTGTGAATAACGCTAGCGGCTAAACCGTTTAGCCGATTTTCCTCAAAGTTGATATTCTCCAATCGATCTGCCTGACGTCGTAGACCCTTGAAATTGAAACAGATATTTTAATTTTGGGATACTTCCAAGATTTGTTGGCTACTGGGACATTTTCAAAATTAAATTTTGTTGTAGGATTGTGTGAAGAACGTTTAAAAGAATGGTGCACTTCTCCTTAAAAACCTTAATTTTAGGAAAATTTCAAAATGTTTCGATGTCTTCCTACAACTAAAATATTAAAGTTAGAAATGTCTTCCCTCAATGAAATCTGTTGCTTAAAGATAAATTCTGTAATGTCATTTATGATTTTTCGAAAATTTGAGTACTTGTAACAAGATTTCGCCTGAAAATACCGGCGAGAAAGTACGGTACGTGCTCTTATAGCACCCCTAGCTTTTTCTCCCCTTCCTCTCGGAACGTTCGTTTCACTGCTCTTTTTCCTCTCATGTTCTTTTCTGCTCCTCCCCTCCCCCTGTCCCGACGCCCACTGCGCTACCGCGGCGCCGCTCGGCTACAACGTGATTTATCCATTGCCGCCAACTTCCGCCGCAAGATTTACTACCCCTACTTGCAGCTGCATTCAAACTTTTTCCATAAAATGTACGGATTATGGATTATTAAGTTGAAACAACTTCTGCTCGGGCGAAAGATAAAAAAAAAGCACAGTAAACATTTGCATGTTCAAGTGTAACAGAGGATGCTTTAAACATGAAGTGTTATCGGATTTTTTTTTCAGTTTTTGTGAGACGAAATGGGGCGCACGGAAGCAGTACATGTTCACCGTTCCTGTGAATGTCCGCACATAAATCCATAGACGACTTTTATGTTGAAACATAACTGCAGAATATCTGAATATATGCATCTGAATAAAGTAAAAAATCGTTTCGGTTTTTGATGTGCTTTGTATAAAAGTACTTTCTTTACGCAAAGTACTCAGAATCTAAGTTTTCAATATATTTATGATTTTAATTCCCTTTAGAGATTAAAACTTAATAGTGTCCTCAAAATGCGATGGTAGTCCAGAAAGTACTAGCTTCGAGATATGATCTACAAATCACGGGAAGTGAAACCTGCTCGAACGGCCACCTCGATTAAGACTTTAAACAGCCATTTTTTCGTTCAGCTGATTGATTTTCCCTTAAGACCAATGTAAATATTCCGTCTTTTAAGAGACTACCTACATCCGGGCCAGGCACATTTCGTATATTGTTTTAAGCGGTCCCTCTAGAACGCCTCTGTTTTTAATGTATGTAAGCTTATTTGACGAAATTGTACTTAGAGGTTTTTAACAATAGAATATAGAACGCATATCGTTTCAGCGAAAGTTTATGCGAACGGTTTTCCACCGCAATAGAGAAATAAGTGGAAGCGAGGTGGACATTATTATTGATTCGGTAGATTCATTTGATGCATTGTCAGATTACAGAAAAAAGTAAAATCTATTATCGCATATTTCACTGGAAAAGTAATTTCTTTTTCAGATAAAAGATGATTTTAACAAAATATCTATGGCATCTTCCACTTCGTGTCTACTTCGACATAGAGTCCACTTCGTCGATTCCACAGGTTATTTTGTAAAAATTGCTAATCCCTGCTTTCCATCTGTAGGAACTTGTCAACAACTTGCTGAGGCAGACATGTGCGCGAATAGGCAGAAGAACAATCACTAAGTCCGTCTGCCGATCCTACTCTCAAAAAATTACAGGATGGTAATTGCACCATCAAGTCCTGTTTCATTGTGAGTTCGTTTCCATGAGAATGGAAAAGTATATTTTTGAGAAAGATCATGTGTGACAACAAACGTGGGATTAATCAAGAGGCGGCAAGCGACTATATTATTTAAGTTATATTTTGTATTTGAAATAAAAATATTTTCAGAAATAAACTATTTTATTTCATAACAATTAGCACAATACTTAAATTCGATCTAAGCTTCCTACAATACCTAAATCTTGATTAAGCGGCGAACTCATTTAGCTACCAAATTTTTCCGTAATTTCTCGGTAAGTTATTTCTCCGTAATTTCTCCAAGACAGGTTTCACTTTATAAGTACACTGCTCAAAGCATACGTTACTTCAAATGGAAGCAAATTAAGAGAGAGACTTGCGTTTCAAATATTTCGTATTACACTTTTAGCAAAACTTCATTATCTTTCATCACATACGCTACATGCGCTCATACATAAAATTGACAGTAACTGAACGAATATTAAACAAATTATATTATTCGGATTACTTCTTTACATTCACATCTCAAATCTGAATGAAATTTCCCGTTTGTCGTTGATGAAAATACAGAAAATAACTATTTTTCACCAATCGATAGGCAAGTATATAAAAAGATATATACATTTAACAAAATATAAAATGTCAAAAACATTAATGCAAGGTGAATTTTTCAACATTTTCATTTGTATACCAGAACACGTACCACGATGAACACCGTTAAGAAAACAAACTACTCAGGTGCGCTCAATTGCAGAGTTCCATCAATAAACAGCTTTCTAGAGGCTAAGCGCTCCGTGTGGCCGGTAGCAAAAACCATTACGGCGGCGTTAGCCCAGCACGCAACAACGCAGCCTGGGTAGCTTATGCTAAGTTGCCAATTTACCGCTCCGGCGCCGTGCTGAAGGCGGGCGACGGGGGTGGACAGCTCGGGCGGGTGCGAGGGGGCGAGGGCCGTCCGCGGAGCGAGGGGCGAAGACGGAAGGGAGACTCAAGCAGTCGACGATGGCAGAGGAAGACCCAAACACGGGCGAAGCAAATGTACGGAATGATAGAAGGTGAGGTAAAGGATGAAAGATGGCAGGTGGGTGGGAGAATGGGTAAGAGAGGAGAGGGTAGAAGGCGAGCGTCGAAAGACCTAAAAGAGTGGGTGAGGTAGGGAGATTGTAAGTGCACGGGCGACTGAGTATGTGGCCAAGTGGACGTACAAAAAG